TTCCCAATTCCTATCCCCAAGAGACCAAACGTTCCCGCAGCCGCCCTTGCGCCCGCGTCCCCCTCTTCGATGTTATTCTCTGGAACGTCCGGCTTCCGCAGTTTGGCGCCCCCTCCTTGTTCTTTGGGCGCATGTTCATAATGCCAGATGTGACGCGCCCGCGTGGTGTGGCTGTGCTGTAGCTCCTCCCCGGCTCTGCTGCCATCCCTGACTGGCTCCCCACGCTCCTCCACCAGCTGCGAGCTGACGGCACCTCCTCCCTCCTGGAGGAGAACCTGAGCGCGCAGGAGGGCTTGGCAGGAGCCACGAAGCTGCTGTGACTGTCTGCGTTTCCCATCGTAACCTGGAGGATGACATCATCAACGTGACACAGACGGAGGAGATAAATTACGGAACAACTACAAACGCTGCTGTTTGTCTGCCAGGAAATATGAACTCAGACTTCAAACAGACATTTATATAAATAACTTTACACATATTTCACTTTTTCAAGAGAAACACAAATACGACTGAAACCGTTTCTATGACGACTGCATTGTGAACAACAACAGTAACTAATGCTTCTACCAACACTGCTGTAACCTGGGGCAACAGTGAGCTACGGGCCCCTGCTGACCCCCTCTGGTCATTAATTCTGAAATTACACTGTTCTGTTCTTCATTAGCACATTTGTTATATACTGTAAGAGTGAAATGTACTGTATGTAATATAAAACCAGAATCAGGAAACAAGCTGTTTCCCCGACTACCATTTAGAAATAAAGGAATAAACAACCTGTTTTCAGTTGTTTTTTTGTTTCGAAAATAAAAATAGAAAACAAAAAACGACCTATGCTCGGTTTATTGTTCCTCTGTTTATAAAAGGTAGTCCGGAAACAGCTTGTACTGTTAGTTACTACTAACAGGACATATTTCATATTTTCACAAGAACCGCCTACAGCGAACTAGCTCGTACGTTCTGCGATAATACCTCTCCACACCAGCAGGTGGCGGCAGTCTGTATTCGTTATAAAAACAAACACCTGAAGACAACAGTATATCGTATATCAGCCGCTTCTAATGGATAAAAATGTCTGATGAGAAGTTCCACGTTAGCTTCTAAAGTAGCTTTATTTTCCATCCAGCTCAGTAAATCTGCTGATGAAGACCATGTGGTCTGGTTGAAGGTCTGGTTGGCTGTTAGTTTTGTTCTTAAATTCACACATTTTAAGTTTCTTAAAGAGCAACTTAAGTTTCTCTTTTTCTTTTTTAGCTGCAGTGACATCACAGTGCACCGACGCAGCCTGCAGTACGCTGTGACATCACTGCAACAAGATGTCAGCTAATGAATTTAATTAAAATGAATCAAATTACATTCGACCAAACTCGCCTACAGCTCCAACACTAACAACATCTATTAGTTCTAATACTATTAATACTGCAGCTGTTGTATTACTACAGATATTATTATTATAGTAAATGTTTTAAATTAAGACCAGATTTCATCAATGCTTCCTAATCCTGATCTGCTCTGATTGGTTTGTTCATTCAGTCAAACTACAGAACATTAATGCTCCAAACTCTCTGTTTTCCTTAAAACTATTTTATTAATTTTAATCTGATTAAAACATCTTCAGCTGGTTCTCTAATACATATCGTAGGTAATCAATAAAAACACTTCACATCCCAACATGAAAAGCAACATTATCCAGCTTTTACTCGTTTTCTTTTGGAGCTCAAACAAACAGATTCAGAGGTGAAAATAAACACAAACAGGATTTAACAAATAAAAACTGTAAATTTCCACCGATGAACAAAAGTGAATAAAAACAATGAAAGTATTTTTTTACCGGTTTGTTTTCTTCAGAAACTCAGCAGCTCCTTCATTCTCCTCCGTCCTGCTGCCTCCTCTCTCTCTCTCTCTTTACTACTGCAGCTCTCTCTGTCGCCTCCAGCTGCTCCCTCTCTCTCTCTCTCCCCCTGTGTTTGTGTATGTCGCTCGCCCCTCTCCTCACACCAGCTCATCTGTTGGGGGAGAACAGAGGGAGGGAGGGGCTTCATGAGCTCTCAGCACACAGAGCCTGCTGTTGTGTGGACCCTCCCTCCTCTGTGGAGCTCTTCCATGACGTCTCCTCCTCCTCCTCCTCCTCCTCCTCCTCCTCCTCACTCTGTCCTCTGTTTATTTTGGTTTTGCTGGTATGTGAAACAATTTTCTCCTCGTTTTCTGTTTCTTCGCTGTGAGGTCATCAGACTGCAGCTATTTTAAGAAACTCAAAGTTTTCAGCTGCAGAGCAAAAAACTACACGTTTATCATCGATAAATGTGATATTTAGAATTAATTGTTACTTATAAAACTTATAAAATGTCAGAAGAATTCAATTCAGTCACATCCTTGGATTCATTTTTGTCATTGTGAAATAGTTTGGAAATATTCACATTACTTTGATTTTAACAACAAAAAACTGTGTTTTAATCGTCATAAGTCAGAATTTTGGGAAGAAAAGACATAATTACCAGTTTGGGAGTAGCAGAAAAGTAAAATAACTGTGAAAGTGTGACTGATTACTGTTGGCAGGGAGTAATATGTAAAGTAATAATATTACTTTTGAAACGAGTAACAAGTAATAAATTAACAAGCCTAATCCGAAACGCCTGATTTTAGGCTTTTATTTGTAAAACTTGCTGGAAAAAGTAAAAACTGCAAAAATAATTTTACTTATGAATGTTTTTATTTAAGATTTTTTTTATCTTTATCTTAACTTACAAAAAATGTTAAAAGTGTATTTTTCCATCTCAAAAATAGTTTCAGTTTTCTCTTCACTGCTGGAAATGTTTCCGGCATTATACTGGCTAATCGGTCGCTGCTAACGTTAGCTAGAGCTAAAATAGAGCAGCAAGACATTCAGCGAGTCCCGTCTTTAACTTTTTAGCCAACTGAACCATGGACTGTGCTCGTCCCACACAGCGAGAACACAATATCAATATTTAACACGATTTTACAACTTTCATCAGAGGTGGCAAAAATAAACGTAAACGTAGACGTACAGATTATGTGTAGTACTGA